CCTGCCACGTGTGACATTCTCTATGAAAATCTGCTGTAGTTAATTTCACTTTCATCATTCACCGAATCCTCACAATACAAGCCAAGCGTTACTATTCTCCTGATTAACAGAAAAAGTTGAGATGCAAAGAAATGAAATGACTTGCCAAAATTCACCCAGGAAGGACAGAACAAGGTGCTCTTTCTCCTGCCCTGCTCGGAGTCTAACTTACAGAAGGAGCTAAGACAGATGAGCTCGGGAAGGGGGAAATGAAAGGGAATGGGTGAGGCCAGGAGCCCCGGGAGCAAAATGTGCTGACCACACCAGGATGACCCCCGACAAGGTAAGGATGGGGAGGAGGAGTCCAGAGACAAATGTGATTAACTTATAATAGTGTGTGAGACTGTGACACTGTCTGGCACAAGCCAGGATGCCATGGTGACCTCTCCACCCATGCAACTCACAAGTTCATGGCAGAGGTGGGGCTTTTCCTTGGCCCGGCTCAGGTCTTTGCACATAGCAGGTGCCCACTGGACATCTGTTAAGTGGCCTGGGTAACAAGGCTTCTCTTTTTATTCCCCCCTTCCCCTAATTTAGAACACCTTCCTTGTCCTTGAAATCATGAGGAATAAAGGACTTTGCTTCTTCCTTCCGCAAAGGGAAGAATCCTCCCTGACAATTCAATTTTGTATAAAGTAATTGATCGATCCTGACAATTACTCTACGGTACTTTAAACAGCAGCTCCAGCTTCTTTTCGTCCCTCATCCTCCTTCTCCCTACACTGAAGTGTAGGGGCCTGATTTAGTCTACCATCGTAATTTTACCTTCAGCAAGCTGATATCATCACAAGCAAGCACAGCCCCAGACTACTCAAAGGCAAAGAGGCAGAGACCTAGGAAAGAAAATTAAGGAGCATGTGCACTGCCCCCCCTCTCATTCCCTGTCCTGTCTCTTGCTTAATGTCCTACTGTATTATGGAGCCTGCTCCTTTACAGGACTATCTGGGGTTCAGAGTACATTGCAGAGATACAGACTGAAATTTTCTTACTGCTACAATACATTTCAATAATATATATATTTAAAGTACAAGAGGAACCACAAGAGTTGGTCTTGTTCCCTCTAATAGATTCACATATTTGAGTTGTTTCATTTTGAGAAAATTACAAAAACAAAGGACCGGAAGGGTTAAATAATCACAGAACAGCCTGTCCTCATTACTTGTGTGAAATCCCCACTGCATCACAGGGACAGCATGTTAAATCAATAGAGACTTGAGCTGTTAATTTCCAAAAGGGAAGAGATGATTGAACTAAGATAGTCTGTGTTGAGTCCCTGCCCACAGGGAACGGGAAACCCTTTATTTTCAGGTCTCTCTACAATTAGGTACCTTCTAGGATCGTGAACCACTTTACAAAATTTCCTGCTTTTGGGGGGTGGGGGTGGGTAGGGAATACTTTGTGGGCACAAAAGCTGTAGTTTTGTACTGCACTGAGTTTACAGTAAGGTGGCAAAAGGTGTATATAGGTGTATGAAGGTGTTGGAGGTGGGGTGGGGCTGGGGGGGTGGGGACACATCAAGGTTAGTAACAGGTTATCCTCTTACCCTTTGGGGTTTTTTTTATTTCATTTGCTTTCCTCTCCTGGGCTATGCCTCTGTATTAAAAGTCCAGGGGAGGAGATTTCGTTTTTACTTCTTAGTGATTCATGGCCCTCTCTTTTTATTTTTCCCAGGCAGAGGCTGACAAAGAGGCTGTTTGCATTACATGCAAGCAGTGATCCATGACTTTTGCATGCAACGCATTGCATGCAACCCTTGATCGATGACTTTTGATCAGGTTGGCATGATCAGATATTTGTAGGGTCTTGGGAGGACCAGGGTGATAAAATAAAGGATAGCTTTTACTAGAAGTCTCTTCATGATGCCTCTTATTGGTGGGGCTATTTCTTGTGAACTGTAATGGGTATCATCATCCTGATTACCTTTTATATATAAATTGTGGAAATCCACAGAGTGGAGAACTAGGCATTTTTCAAATAAATGTCAGCTGACTCTAATTTTTTAATGAGTTACTCCCTCATTAAAAAAATTTTTTTTTCTCATTCTTGGTTATGACATCTTCAAACTAAGAGTCTGCTACAGCTGGCTGGGAATTCATTTCTTATCCAAAAAATTCCTTACATTCTTAGAATGACCATGAGCTCTATGCTGCCATCTCTGAGCTGTTCCCCAAGGAGAAGTGAAAAGCAGCTCCCCACTGGCTTCCCCCTCTGCTCTTGGAGGGGATATGAAGGAAAGCAAAGTGCTCCACCCCATCACCTCCCAAAGGACCTTCTTCCTCCCAAAGAGCAGCTGGTTTCCTTAGGGGAGGGGCTGGAGAGGCAGGATGGAGTTTTGAGATCAGGACGAGTGTGTCCATTAGCTTCATTTTCCCTACCCTTGTCTCTCCCTGTTCCCTGCCACTTGGTCTGTGGACGGGCCAGCTCTAATGCGAAGCTAGTCCCAACCAGGGCAGGTAAGAAAGTAGCAGCCAGTCCCCACCATATATTCCTTCAGTTATGCCCAGGGGACACTCTGGGGGTGTAGGGGCAAACTTAGTCCCTACTGCTCTGTGAGGTGTGGTATTTCCTCCCCTCCCTGGACTGGGCTGCCTTCACTTTAAAGTAGTGATTCTCAGGGCGCCTGGGTGGCTCAGTTGTTGGGCATCTGCCTTCGGCTCAGGTCATGATCCCGGGGTCCTGGGATCGAGCCCCGCATGGGGCTCCCTGCTCTGTGGGAAGCCTGCTTCTCCCTCTCCCACTCCCCCTGCTTGTGTTCCCTCTCTCGCTGTCTCTCTCTCTGTCAAATAAACAAATAAAATCTTTAAAAAATAAAAAAAGTAGTGATTCTCAGCCCTGCCTACATCTGGATTTTCTTTTCCTTTTCCTTTTTCTTTTTGAAGATTTTATTTTTTAAAGTAATCTCTACACCCAGTGTGGGGCTCCAACTCACAACTCTGAGATCAAGAGTCACACGCTCCACTGACTGAGCCAGGCAGGTGCCCCTACAACTGCATTTTCTGAAGAGCTTTTAAAGATGCCCAGTCCTGGGTCTACTTGAGTACTTGAAACCAAACACCGGGAGTCGGGGACCAGCCAAGTGTGTTTTCAAAGCTCCAGAGCGAGGATGAGAATGTGCTTCCTACTGTCCAATGTCAGCTTACGGCACTTGGCAAGTGTGACCCTTTGAGCCAGGCCTTCCGCAATGGCCCTGTCACTGTCAAATGCCGCATGCAATCTCACGGAGACCTCCTGTGTTCGCTGTCGGACTTCCTTGTCTTGCTCTCCATCAGCTCAGTTAGCTTTTCCCCTCTAGATGAGTCTGACCTTAATTCCATCCGGTCCTGCCATCTCTCTGCATAGATGGCCAAGGTCACAGGGACCCACATCAGCCTCTCTGACACGTGACCACGAGCCCATAAACCTATTTGGAGCTTCTCTTTCTGCATTCCCTTCACCCAACATTTACTGAGCACCTACGATGTATCAGGCTCAATGCGAAGTACTTTGTAAATTTACCATGTTTAAGCTGTGTCACAACAGCTTATGAGGATTACAGCTATAATGACACAGAGATCTCGAGATGATAAAAATCTTGTCTAAGGTGTCTTACTTCAGGTTTGGTTTTCAAACACAGGTCTGGCTGACTCCAAGGCCCACAGTCTCCCCATTGCTGCATTGCTCCTCAGTGAAAAAGACCTGGTTTCTGCCTGGAGGTGTTCACAAGTCTGGTCAGGAAGATCCACACAGGAGACGAGCAGGAGGACAGAGGCTGTGGAAGCAGGTGGAGAAGCACTTACCCAGAGAAGGAATTCTCAAGAAGATGGTACTTTTTTTTTTTTTTAAGATTTTATTTATTTGACAGAGAGAGACAGCAAGAGAGGGAACACAAGCAGGGGGAGTGGGAAAGGGAGAAGCAGGCTTCCCACTGAGCAGGAAGCCCGATGCGGGGCTCGATCCCAGGACCCTGGGACCATGACCTGAGCCAAAGGCAGCCACTTAACTGACTGAGCCACCCAGGCATCCCGAGAAGATGATACTTTGAATTGAGTCCCAAAAGATGATCAAAAGTTACTCAGATGAAGAAAGGGAGAACTTCATGTACACAGCTGTGGAGTCCAGAGAAATCAGGGCTTCCTCAGGGACCTGCCAGAAGCTCAGTACAGCTGTGGGATGATGTGGCAGAAGGGGCACGAGGTGATGACGGGCAGCAAGCGGGGCAGGTCATGAGCCTTTCAGTCACATTAACAGGTTTTGCACTTTATCCCGGGGACAATGGGCACCAGGTGAAGGATTTTAAGCAGAAGAGATAGAATCAAAGTTGCATTTAGGAGGAAGGATGGGCAAAGGACATGCACGTCTAGAGGCAGGCAGAGCACATAAGAGGCTGCAGTGAGCACATAAGAGGCTGCCATCTCTGAGCAAGAGCTGATGGTGACCAGAATTAAGATTTTAGCAGTGAAGATGAGGGGAGAAAATGAGGAGCTATTCAGAAGGCACATGCAACTGGATTTGACAAGAGACTAAATATGGTGGGTGAGAAGAAGGAGGAGTCGAGAATAAGTGCTTTCCTTGGGACAAAGAACATAGGAAGAGGAAAGGGTTGGGGAGAGCTGATGAGTTTCTTTGGACATGTTAAGTGTATGGGTCCAGTGGGCAGCTGGATATGAAGGTCTGGAGTCCAGGAAAGGGGCAGAGGCTGGAGATCTAAAACAGGAAGTCATCAAAATGGTCACCAACTCCAAAGATATAATAAGGTGTCCAGAGAGAGTGGGCATGATGAGAAGAGTTGCATCCATAATGGCCAGAACGGATCCCACCTTCCCCTAGAACTTTTTTTTTTTTTTAAGATTTTATTTATTTATTTGAGAGAGAGAGCACGAGCAGGTGGAAGAGACAGAGGGAGAGGGAGAAGCAGACTACCTGGTGAGCAGGGAGCCTGATGAGGGACTCAATCCCAAGACCCTGAGATCATGACCCGAGCCGAAGGCAGACGCTTAACCGACTGAGCCACCCAGGTGCGCCCCCCTCTAGAACTTGATAATTATTCTGCCCTCCAGCTTACTGACGCAGGGTCCTGATACCTGGCCTTCTTCTTGCTGATTTCTTTCCCCAAAAGAAAGCATACTCCTCTCTGTGCCCTCATCCATTTGCTGATACCCTTTATGAATGCTCAGCTCTTCCAGGACCACATCCCTACTGGAGACAATCCTTGCATTACTGTGGCTGCATGTCCTCCAACACCATCCAATGAGGACCCTGTAGTACCACTCCTTGCCCAGTCTTTCCTTTCTCTTTGGGCCCTGACATAGACCAAACACCCTTGTGGGACCAGCCTCTGAAATCAGGTTAGTTCCTATACCCAAAGTGGGAAGGGCCCTCCCTATTTACCGTTCTCCCCATCTGGCCCAGGGCTGTGGCCTGATGCACTTCACAGTCCGTGGAACAGGCCTGCGGGCCCCCGAAGGAGCCTGGGATGGGGATGGTTCCTCTGTCTCCGCAGCCCCATGAAGCAGAGAAAGAGGAAGCACAGCAGGGGCTGACTGAATGGAAGAGTGGAACACCAGAATTGGCTCCCAAGGGAGACTGGCCGTGGAATACCTTAAATTAGAAGTCTTAAAAAATGTGTTAGGGATCCCTGTTGCCCTGGTTGGCTTTGGGTGTGGTTCTTTCCAACAGAGGATGATTGGTGGAGTTTTTCCAGCCCTGTAATTCTACTTGTGATGAGGTAGAATTAAAGCCGAAATGTGAGTTCATAAATTGCCTAGTTGGTGAATAATAGAGTTTAAATCTCCTCAAAAAAAAAGAGTTAAATACAAAATCATATTAAAATTCATAGCCATCTGCCTACAACGATTTCATTTAAAAATTGAGCACAATTAATTTTTAATCCTAGGTCAGCTTTCCCACTCCTACCTGTCTCTCTCCTCACCGCCTCCCCCATCAGACAGTCAGTGTGTGCTCTGAGAACTTGAGACCATTTTAAATATTAACTGGAGCCACACATACCCAGGAAGATGAATCCACACATACTTCTCCTCTTCCGTCTATTATTACTAGTATGATTGCTCACATATTTCTAAATGCAGTTCTGGTTAAAAATAAATTCTGTAAACTAGGAATGTGGGGTGTGTCTGCCTCCATAAAAATCCCTTTGTTCTCTGTGCAGAATTGAGCAGAGATGCAGAAGTAGAAAGCAGGGCTGTGTTTCAGGAAAAGATCCTGGGCCAGCGCTTTGGCATCCGTCTTTCTGTTAGCAGGAGGGGTCACTGAGTCTGGGAGAGCTCGGGATGCTTCAGGGTTTTACAGCAGAGACTGCTTGACTTCCTTCCCCGACTGCTCAGTTTGGATGGGAAGAAATTCCGTAAGAGAGGGTACAGGAATAGACACAAGCATGGTAGGCTAAAGCCAGGAAGCTGACATGATCAAGCATCCTCCAGGAGCAGGCGGGCCAGGGCTGAATCAGCGGAGTCCGGAAGCTGCTATCGGCTCCTTGAGACGCCAGCGTGCTTCGGGAGAGGAGCTGTTCTGGTGGAGACCCTCTGCTGACTGAGGCCTCTTCTCTGCATGAATTGAAACATGCACATTTTGAATGAGGTTTGCTCCCCTCCACACCGGAGTCCTCATCTTCTATGACAGACCCACTCAGCCCCGGGGGCAGGAAGTTCCAGCATCGATCCTTGTAGAGAGGACCCGGAGCAGGGCAATGAATCCTGCAGGTATGGTAGACCATGCTCAGTGAAAGGAGAAACCACAGAGGGTTGCCACTGGCTTGACACCGTTCTCAACAAACCCCTGGATTGTGCACAGTCCAAGATTATTAGTTAGGCAACGGAAAGGTCGTGGACCCAAAGGGCAACTAGCAATAGTACAGAGCCAACAAGGAGAAAAGAGAGGTGTCAGAGGCAGCTCTCTGTGAACGCTGAATTGTGTTTTTAGTTTTTGGAAGCTACTGAATTTGTGATCGCCTGTGCTGGAGCCAGTATTGGTCCCTAAGACCTTCTGAAGAAACCACTCTTGGCTGTTTAATAACTGATCTCAGCTGTGTGACTGGGGAGACCGCAGTGTCAAGGGTTCATGTATTTTCTCTTACGTGGCCCCTTGCAAGAAGCCACAGAAGGTCAGCTGGAGTTGGGTTCTCTCTTTTTTTTTTAAATTTTTTTTCTGATGGGCAACAACTTTATTTTTTTTAAATATTTTTATTTATTTGTCAGAGAGAAGAAGAAGAAGAAGAAGAGAGAGAGGCAGGCAGAGGGAGAAGCAGTCTCCCCACTGAGCAAGGAGCCCGATGTAGGACTCGATCCCAGGACCCTGGGATCATGACCTGAGCTGAAGGCAGATGCTTAACCGACTGAGCCACCCAGGCATCCCTCTCTGTTTCTTTTTAAGTAAACTCTATGCCCAACAAGGAACTTGACTTCACAACTCTGAGATCAGGAGTCACATGCTCTACCGACTGAGCCAGCCAGGCATCCCAGAAGCTAGGTTCTTAAATGGAGATGAAAAGCTGTGATTGAAGAATGACCCATTTGGGGAAAATAAAGCCGATGATGGGAAATGGGCTGCATCTTAGGTTGAGTCTCCTTTTTTAGTGAGTCCTGAGGTAGAGGGCATTTGGGGGCTGAAAACTCAGAATGTCAGCTAAATTTGGCCTCCGCAAAGAGAAATTAGATCACAAGTGCAATACTTTTGACCAAAGGTACTGCAAAGAAAGAAATTTAAAGCAGTTGCTAGTAAACAAACAAGGCAATTGTTAATACCAGGAAAAACAAAAAACAATAAAGAAAAATAATAGTACACTACAATGCTCTGCTTTCCTTGCATATGTATAATGATGTAAACACCAAACATTAATTTAACCAAAAATTATGATATGCTGATGTAGGGAGGACTAGGAAAGGGATGGTTGAAAAGAACACTAAATCCTCATTTACCAATACAGGAACTGAAAGAAAAAAGCCCATGTGGTTTATTTAAAATATGGCAACATGTAAATGCCAGAAAAAAACCAGGAAGACTTAGGGGTGTGAGAGGGAATGAGGAAGGAAACTGCCACAGTTCACTGGACTTTTAGTATTATTTGACTTTTTTTTTTTAAAGATTTTATTTATTTATTTGAGAGCGAGCACGGGGTGGGGAGGTGGGGAGGGGCAGAGGGGAAGCAGAATCCCCGCTGAGCAGGGAACCCAAAGTGGGGCTCAATCCCAGGACCCCAAGATCGTGACCTCAGCCAAAGGCAGATACTTAATCAACTGAGCCACCCAGGAGCCATTATTTGACTTTTTAAATTACATGATTGTGTTCGTTAAAACAATTTTTAAGTGGTGTTGCTCCAAAAGGACAAGACAGAACAGAACATCTTTACAGTTAAAAGTGTGTTGAAAAGACAAATTAACTTCAAGCTCTAAATACCCTGGATAACGAGGACAATCAGGAAGCAAGAGGAAGGCCTAAAGCTCCCTTAGTTGATTTACACACAGTTTGATAACAGTTACGTTTAATAAAAAGAGTCCTTAGTTCATACCTAGATCTTGCATAATTTTAAAATTTGTTATTGCTTATGTAGTATTTACAAGAGAATGAATTAAAACTTCCTTTAAAAAGAGGTAGTCTGGGGACATACTGAGCAGAGCATATTCTATATATCTACTTCTTTAATTGTCCACACAGGGAGAGTGCCTCACCAGGGGCCCAAGCATCTATACACATCATCATTATTCATCAAGGACCAGCTATCTGAAGAGCAAGCATACTGGCCAGGAAGAATTAATCATCTTCCATAAGACTTGAGTCTATGATTGCCATAGATTTCATTCATTTCTTCCTTCCTAGCTCTCTTTCAGAAATGTACAGTGTAAAGGAACCTGCCAAAACATGTCTTTGGGTGGCAGGTGACACCATTTAAGCAAACTTGCTGCGACCTTGAGTGGATAACCAGTGTTGAGTGGACCTTTACCCTTTAACACGGGGTTCTTCAACCTCAGCACTACTAACATTTTGGTCAGATAATTCTTTGTCGTGGGGGTCTGCACTGCACATAGTAGGACGTTTAGCAGTGTCCCTGGCCTCACACATTAGATGTCAATGGCATCCTCCTCCCCAGTGATGACAACCAAACACTGTTACTGGTAGCTCATCAAAGATTTAGGCTTAGTCTATATTACTAACTCTGCAGCAAAGAACATCTAAACAGTGATTAAAATTTATTATACCATTCTGCATCTGATAACTGAGACATGTTAAGTGAGAAATTTCTCCCTAAAGTATAATTAGGCTATGTAAATTACCTAAGTATTTTTAAATCTGGAATAAAGTTGAAAATGAAAAGAATCTCATCATGACATTCTGAACCACTGGTTAGATCTTTCTCCAGGGAGGAGAATCTTGCTCCCAACATCTTTATAATCTCCCCCTCAACTGAGCTTGCTTCAGCTTTCAAGAAAGCTGGAGTAGAACCCATAAGAGGTTTGAGTGGGCAAAAGGCACTCCAGTAAGGATTCCCTGGCCAGAGTGGGGAGGACTGGGTCTGGGACATAAATAGCTGCTTCATCATCAAAGCCTCCTCCTGCCCAGGAGAAGGATTTCATGAGAACTCGGGCTCATTGTGTGAAAATTCAGATGACTGAACTATAATTAGCTCGATTAGTCAACATTTTCATTCATAGGATTCTGGCTTTGATGTGCTCCTTTCTCACAGAATCAAAGCTAATAATTCTGGAAACATAATTGGGAACTGAGTGCCAGCTTGAAGCTTGGGGAGCTCCCTCACCTTCTTGGCAAGCCCTGCTTCCAAGATGTTGCTTCCTGGCCATGAATGAACCCGGCCCAGGCACCTCCACCTTGCCCTTTGGCTCCTTGCTTCAGAGGACATTTCCTGAGCATCTCCTCTCTGTGAGTCAAGATCTCGAGCATTTATGTTCTAAATGTGCAGTGGTTGACATGAAGCTATGACATGAAGCTATGACATGAAGCCATGACATGAAGCTATGACATGAAGCCCGAGCACTTAATAGATGCATAAACCTTTTTTTGGATATTGCTAAACAAACAGTGGAGCAGATCATTGGTTGGTTGTCTATCCAATAACCATCCCTCCTGCTTCAGGAATAAAAGCTGATTGAAACAACCAATTGCAGTGATTGTCTTCTTGTTCAAGCATAAGTTCATGAGATCATTCTGGTTGATGAGATAGGATAAGTATGCCGGGTGGATTCTCAGCAAGATCTCCTTGCTTAAACAGGCATATATAGGAAGAGACGGTCCTCTCCCACTATTGGATGTGGTTGTATTTCTAAGTGACATCTAGAATTGTGCCCACCATCTTGAAAGCATGAGGAAAGACGACCAGGGGATGAAGCAGACAGGCCGAGGATGCAGGTCAGAGAGATGGAAGAATGCATGGCCTTTATGACATTGTTAAGCTACGGATCAGCCATCCCTGAGGTTACCTCTGGATTTCCCAAGTAGATGACACATTTTCCTTACTCTTAAGTTCAGTTGGATTTTCTGTGCTTATAGGTGAAAGCATCCTAGTTGATATAAGTGACTTGCCAGATTTTTTTGTATAGGAAGGGATTTAGGTAAAAGGCTAGCCTAATGGGAACTTTATCGTATCTGCCACTGCTTACTGAGTACCAACCATGCACCTGTGCAGAAACCATATGAACACTGACTCTGATCCTCACAATAACTCCATGAGGTGACTTTTATTATTTGCATTTCAAAGATGGGGAAACTGAGGCTCTGAGACATAGAGAGCACCAGTGACTATGCAGTGTAGCTCACATTCAAACGCACATCTAATATGACTCCATGCTTCTCTCTACATTCTACTTCTTTTTTAAATTTTTTAAAAAGATTTCTTTATTTATTTGAGAGAGAGAGAGCGAGCGTGCACGAGTAGGGGGACAGGCAGAGGGAGAGACTCGAGCCAACTTCCCTGCTGAGCACGGAGCCCCACACAGGGCTCGATCTCACGACCCTGATACTGTTACCTGAGCCAAAATCAAGTGTTGGACACTCAACCAACTGAGTCACCCAGGCGCCCCTACATTCTATTTCTCATTAGCGTTCCAAAGACACAGCAAGAGATGAGGACGAGTGTGCAGAGGAAGGCTACTTGGCTCAAGGGTATGGGACGGAAGGAACAAGGGAGTGGAAATCCCATCCCCTAAAACTGTCTCAGTGGGGAACGAAACCACCATCCTCACCCAAAACACCCCTTACCAGAGACCCTGGATGCCACTTCCAAGCAAGGAGGAATGGGAAACCCTCAGACATTTTGTCACTGGAGCTCCAGACTGGTCCTGCGAACTTGGCCATGACACTTACAATGTATAAAGGCTAAAGACCACCACTGGCTTCTCTCAAGCATTTCTCACTGAGAGTAATCCCGCCTCTCATTCTCATGACACAGTCTCTGCAGACAAGATTAAAAAGAGCTGTTTCCTGTGTTTGCCTCACCCTTGCCCATTCCCTCTTTGCCCTAACGCTTTCCCCCACGACGCAAAAACAAGGCACCCAGGACCGATGAAGAATAGCCATGCTAAGCTCCTGGGACTAAGCTCTGGTCCCAAGTCTGCTCTGGGTTTGCTCAAGAGAGGATTCTGGCAAAGGCTTGGAAAGTGCTATAGACTGAGTTTTATGTTCTGGAGACCCTACAGGACAGGAGTGGGGAAGGGTGAGGGCTTCTGCACAGAGCCCTATTGCGGGACGGCCTCACCTTATATGACCCTGACCGGGAAAATGAATGAATTCCTTATCCTCCCTGCTTCCATTTTCTTCCCTTGTAAAACAGGAATAATAAGGGCCAGTTGACCATAAAAATGCAGAGATGAATGTCAGCATCTGACTGTTGTGAGCTGCCAGGGCTGTGGGGTGGCACACGGGAGCTCATCCCTGTACCATCTCCCAGTGCTTCTCCCTGGCTACCTTCCCCTCTCCAACTCCCATCAGCCTCAGGCTTCCAATGATCAGCAAAGATGGAAGTTTCCTCACATTTCCTGAGGCACTGTGAAGAACTGCTAAATGAGCTCATCTCTCCACACTCTACACCCCAAGAGCTCTCGAGGAGTAGGCTTGCTGGCCCGGCACGCTGACAAACCTGGAGAGGCAGGAGGAGGTCTTGGCCTCCTGGATCCCGCACATCCACGGAAGCTGAGGCAGGAAGTTGTGTCAACCCAGAGCGTTGTCCCAACGGGCCAAATGCGGCTGAGAGGCTGAAAAAGATAAAAAGGTGTCCATTAGATGGAGCAACATGGAGCTTATTGGTGACTGAGAAGAGTGGCTTGGGAGAGCAATTTGAGACTGAAATGCTAATGGATCTATGGAGGAGAGAACAGGAGGGGAAAAGTGTTTACAGACAACGCTTGGAAGAAATTTTGCTATGGGACCAGAGAAATGGAAGAAGATGTGGAATCAAAGAAGAGTTTAAGAGCTATTAGAGCATTTTTTTTAAAGATTTTATTTATTCATTTGTCAGAGAGAGAGAGAGAACAAGCAGGTGGAGCAGCAGAGGGAGAGGAAGAAGCAGGCTCCCCTCTGAGCAGGGTGCCCAATGTGGGGCTCTATCCCAGGACCCTGGGATCATGACCTGAGCCGCAGGCAGATGCTTAACCAACTGAGCCACCCAGGCGCCCCAAGATATTAGAGCATCTTTGTATGCTGATGAGACTTTTCCTTTCCGGAGGGAGAAACTGACAATGGAGGAGAGAGAAGTGATGTTTACAGAGGGCAGCCTTTAGAAAGGGGAGAAGTGCGTTGGTACTCGGTTCTCCCAGTGTGAGATCTTTCTGGCAACTTCACTTGCTCTGGTCTTCTGATGGACATCTGCTCTGTATGCCCTCAAGTGGCAGCCTAATCAAGGACAGGGCCAAGAGGTACTGGAAGGATTCCATGCCTCCCTTAGCTTTCCATGCTGGTCCCGGGATCCAAGCTGCGGCAATCTGCTGCACGGTTTGCTTTCTGATTTCCCAGTGCGTTGTCCCCAAGGGCTGGGGCAGGTGAATCTGCCCCGTATTTTTCAAAGGTCAAACATGTTCAAAGGCCTGATCTCCCTCAGTAATATAACCCTGAATATGGGCAGGCCATCTGCATTCATTGACTCCTTTACTCTTATCATCCAACCTTACAGATGGGGAAAGTTAGGCATGGAAATGTTAAATGAATTGCCAAAGGTCATGCATCTGGTAGGTGGAGGACCTGGGATTTGAACCCAGGCCATCTGGCTCTGGGAGCCCACCTCTTCCACGCCTCCCTCTCCCCCACTCCCCCCGTCCCGCCCTAATCTGTTTCCTCCCTTTAGCCCTTTTCCCAGAAGGCCTAGGATCCTCTCCGCCTCCCCCAAAGAACATCCTGGAGCCCTTGCAATGAGAGGTCATTCTGATTCACCTGTGACCGGTCCTGTACCCATGAGGAATGCTGCCCACGCAGGGAGGGAGGATTCGGAGCTGCTGCTTCCCTGCCTTCCTGTTTCTATCAGGCCAGACCTGGGCAGGACACGATGGCACACTCAAATTGGGTAATTTGAAGAAAGTTGAATAGAGGGGCTAGTTACAAAGGTGTGGGCAGGATGTAGGGAAACCACAGAGGCAGGGCAAGAAGCCACAGGTACTCGACCACCCCGAGGCCTGAAGGGGCGAGGGGAGGTGTGGTCACTGAAGCCTGTAGTGTGTGCACTTAGGGCCGCCTGACCAGAGCTGTGATCCTGAGAAAAGGGACGCAGCCGGCCCCAGGGGTGCCCCCATCCAGGCCTCCCTCCCGCGTCTCCCTCTCTCTGTTCTCCCATCCAGGATACCCACTGGCTAAACCCAACCCAAAGCCAAAGGGTGAGTGAGGGAACCCACTGAGCAGGTCTGCAGCACAGACCAGGGTAGGGAAGGATGGAGAGTGGATCTAGAAGGGCAAACAGAAGTATCTAGCATATAACCGACTTCTTATCGAGGGTGGCGGAGAAGAATGCAGGGCTCTCGGGGCGCCTGGGTGGCTCAGATGGTTAAGCGTCTGCCTTCGGCTCAGGTCATGATCCCAGGGTCCTGGGATTGAGCCCCACGTCGGGTTCCTGGCTCAGCAAGGAGCCTGCTTCTCCCTCTCCCTCTGCCTCTCTCCCTGCTCATGCTTTCTCTCTCTCTCTCTCTTTGTGTCTCAAATGAATAAATATTAAAAAAAAAAAAGAATGCGGGGCTCTGGAACCAGGTGACCTGACTTCAAGTGCCAATTGCCTCTTACAGGCCACAGGACCCTGGGCAAGTTACTTAACCTCTCTATGCATCAGTTTTCCCATCTGTAAAGTGGGGATTGTAACCGCAACCTCACAAAGTTATAATGAGCATTCATGCTTAGTTGATCTCCCTTAGAGATAACTTAAGTAAAGCACTTAGCATACAGTAGGTACTCAATAAATGCTGATCCCTTTCCTCTCTCACCTCCTTCAGGTATAATGTGTGGGGATGAGGCCCTATACTTTGAATGTGGGAGCATTATACGTAGTCCATAAATATTGCTTGGTTGATGGCTGAAGGGCCATCTGTTCCTTGGAGGCTTCTGAACATCCTTCAAATGACCTGTCCTTGGAGCCTGCAACAGTTACTGTGGCTTAAAAAGTTCTTGCTGGGATTGCTGGTATGGTTCTGTCTCCTTCCATGGGTGGTTGCAAGGTTACTGACGTATCTGCCTTATAATTTATTAATTTGTGTGCTTGTTTTATGCTGTGTCTCTGTTTTCTATCTAACAATTAAAAAGTTCTTTAAAATCATTTTTAAATTTCATATAACCATAAAAAATTTAAAAATTTCATTGTTTGCTTTCTCTCCATTTGCTCTGCCCTGTGATTAGGATGGATCTGAATTATCACCAGGTTCGAGACAAAAAGCATTTAAAAAGGCAAGTTTACAGGTGGTAAGTGGCTCTGGGGCCGTTTATTTTTTTCTATTCCTGTATTACCTCCTATTCACAGATGCAGGAAACTGAAGCCGGGTCTCTATGCTTGTCCTATAAGCAAGCAGCTCTAGGGAATGCTCCCTACTGGAGGCAGCTATTAGGGTATGCTCCCCACTCCTGAACCTTCTTTGGAGAATTCCATGGTTCAAATCCTTGCCCTTCGATGCACCATTTGACCCTGAGCAAGTGTTTCCCTCCTTCCTCTTTCCACCTCCCTCCATCACCTTAGAGCCCCAGAGTGCCTGGGGTGCCGGGCTCCCATTGTCCACCAAGCAGCTCTGCCATTGTTGCCAAGCCCTTTTCCCAACCCACTTTTTTAAAAAAATATTTTATTTATGGGGGCGCCAGAGTGGCTCAAAAATAAATTTGAGAGAGAGAGAGAGGGAACACGAGCTGGGGAGGGGCAGAGAGAGAAGAAGAAGCAGACTCCTCTGCTGAGCAGGGAGACCGACGTGGGGCTCGATTCCAGAACCCTGAGATCATGACCTGAGCCGAAAGCAGATGCTTAACGAATGAACCACCCAGGCGCCCCCCAACTCACTTTTTTTTAAGATTTTATTTATTTATTTGACAGAGAGAGCACAAACAGAGGGAGAAGCAGAGGGAAAGGGAGAAGCAGGCTGCCTGTAGAGCAGGGAGCCTGATGTGGGGCTCGATCCCAGGACCCTGGGATCATGACCTGAGCCCAAGGCAGACGTTTAACCGACTGAGCCACCCAGGAGCCCCCCCCAACTCACTCTTAAGTAGACACCCAAGTGGAGGTATGCTTTTCCAAACTATTTACCTGACATTCTCCTTTTCTGTTGTAAATCTCTTTCAACCCTTCTTTCAGCACGTGCTTTCCAAAAGGAGCGAAAATTCCCTATGATAAACTTATACCACTAAGACTCAAAGTTCTGCAGTGGCGGGGACCGTGACTTTCGTGTTTTTATAACCTTATATTGCCTGCCTGAGTAGCTGACACAGATCAGGTGCTTGAGAAATGGTTGTGGCCTCGAACTGAAGAGGATTTTCCTTCCCTTCCTGCCCACGTGAAAACCATCTATCTCTCCAGGCCAGTGCCATCACTCCAGGGGACTGCACAGGACCCGAGCGAGAGGGACTCTGCCCTCTCTGGGAGGCTTTCTGTAAGCCCAGCAGCTGCGGGAGTGCTAAAAGGATGAGATGGGGGGTGGGCAGAGAGGAACAGGCACTTAAAAAACTTCGAGGCTCATTTATTTTTAACATTATAGATTTTCTCTTGCTTTCCTTGAGCATATGATGTGTCTCCCCTCTTCTTGTAAAGGATTGCATAACTGAGGACTTCTATTTGTTTATTTTGCCTCCTGCACAGTCATCGCCAAACTCCGGCGCCTTCCATCTCCTACCCACCAAAGCTGGCGCAGAAAGAGCAGAAACTCCAGGGCTTCTGATGCTTTTACTGGGGCTCAAACGACCCAGGCCTGGAGATGAGAGAGTGAGCGAGGCCATTTAGCTCCTCTGGGCCTCACCTGTCCTCATCAGTAGCTGGGTAGCGTGGGAGTAATAAGTAAGTGGTGCTTGTTGTGTTGGCATGAAAAGTTCCAGCCTGTGAAATGTGTGATCTATGAGACACTGAGATCCAGTTCCTGGACGAGGGCATCTGAGGCAGGCGCCTCTCCGAGCCCCTGAGCTTCACGGTGTCTCCCCACAGTGAATCAGGACACAGATTGGCCAAATCAGCTGTTTTCCTTATCCCTCCAAGTTCCAAAGTCCAAATGCTTTCCTGCTGAGTAATTATTTTATACAGGGGAAAGGGAAGTGCAAAAGGCAGACTCCTCCTGCGGGCTCTCGGTTGGCTCTGGAGATGTCACCCAGACACCACTGTAGTATCTGGCTTCCCCACTCTCCCTAGTTCATGCCACCCTCGTTCAGGCTCCAAAACGAAAGTGACCCCGACACAAGCCCATAGCACATACCAACACGCAGCTTTCCCATCTCCTAAAGATGAAATTCCAAGTGTTTGCGAATAAATACTCCCCGCAGCAAAATTTCATTGTCAAGAAGGACATCGTGCTTGTCCGGACGCCCACAAGAAGGGCCTTTTGCCAAAACGAATGGGAAATCATTGGCCGAATTAACATCCTGTGATCTTAGATCTAAAAATGACCCGGAGCCGGGTAAACAAGGTGACGTAAGCTGCCGGGCGGGGAGCGGCTCTCTACTGCCACCTGGAGGAGAACGTTTGCAATGGCGCGGAGGCTCCGGGCGGCGGGGAGGCTCCGGGCGGCGGGGAGGCTCCGGGCGGCGGGGAGGCTCCGGG